GACTAGATCCTATTTAGCCCCTGTTGCTGTATCGCTGACCCAGTACTGAACACAGCTCAGAAAAGCCCCCGCACATGTGGGAATCATGCACATGTGGGAATCACCCAGCCACTTTAGTGCCACTGGATCATCAGTCCAGTCATCTGCACAAATGACCAGTTGGCTCCTGCCAGGGAGCTCAGCAAAGTCTGTGGGCACTTACTAGTGTGACCTGGATGAGTCACTTAACAGATCTGTGCTTCAATGTCCTTATCTGCGAAATGGGGGTGGATAGGTCCCACTTCATCACTGGGAACGGTGAGGATTGCTTAGCTAACATTCTTAAAGCACCAAGAACAGGAGTGGGCACTCTGTATGCTCTCAATAATGGCCAGCTGTGACTATTACTATGCTTATTACCTCAAATGGAAAAAAGAGTTCCTTAAGTGAGCCTTTCAGCAACCTGGGAAGGCTTGGCTTCTTGTGATTATATCTCTTTTCACTTTATAAAAGTAGCGCTGTTCTTTCAAGTTCCTCTCTTCCTCTCCCCAGAGACCTGGACCATGCCTCCCAGAAAGCTATTAAGCACAGCATGACCTGGGTTGCCCACATTACTCAATATAGAATCCCAGACCTCCATGCCTCTCCTGCATCACAGAGTTCTTGGCGTCTTGCAAGCAGGGATCACAGGGCTGCCTTTGTCCTCCTGCCTTTGTACAGTGGGAATAGGACCATTGGCTCCAAGACTCCCTTTTGAGTTTTCATGCTAGTGCAGTGCTGGTGGCCTACAGTGCTAGTGAGAGCTTCTGAGGTAGGGAAATAGATTCCCAGACACGTTGTGTCCCATCAAAAGAAACTGACATGTGCTCTGAGTTGTACATCTAGGCTTGGGAACGGATTACAGGGAATTGTTCATTTTCTGTGTGGGGCTCAGGTAAGGCAAGTCTTTAACAACATGTGAAGGAGTAACATCTGTCCCCAGTATTCTCAGCAAACCATTTAGGCCCAGCTTGTTGATTCATTCAGTTGTTCCTTGAGTGACTACTGTGTGCCAGACAATGTCTGGGGTTGGGACAGTAAAAAATCCAGTATGGAGGGCCTCCCCAGTGGTGCAGCAGTTGAGCGCTGGATTGCGAAGCTGTCCGCAGCCTCTGCAGCACCGGTTCAATCCCTGGCTGCTCCCTGGCCACTGGAGGAGGGTCCCACATGGCGCGCAGACCTCTCCTGCCACCTGCTGCTCCCCTCAGCAGTGTACTTCAGTCTGCCTGCTCTGCTCCCCACTCTGGCTCTGGTGAATTCTCTCACCCTCCTGCGCTTCTGACTGTACCCAGTGCATGTATAAATAAATAAAAATAAATCTTTAAAAAAAAATCCAGTATGGAGCCTGGCCCTTGAAGCTCACAGTCAACCAGAGATACGGGTAACTAACAATGAAATAATACAGTGCATCACGGGCTATGACAAAGGAAGATGAGGAGTTGTGGGGCTACCTGTCCAGAGCATCACAGCCTGATGCTCTGATATGACTAGGGAAGACTTCCTGGAGGAAGTGATGTTGGAAATGAAATTTGAAGACTGGATATGTGTTCAGAAACCAAAGCAGTGGGCAAAGTCTTTCTAAAGGCCACAATGCACAAGAAAGCAGGGAATAATGAAGGGTATGGAAGACGTTGGGCAGACAGGGAGAGGCTAGATCATATCAGAGTTAAAAAGTTGGACTGTATTCCCTACCCCCAAGCACTTGTCCTGTATCCCATTCCTCCTGATTCACAGTTATAATGTGTGCTAATATTGTTGTAGAGTGGGCGCCAAACTGTTGTAGAGCAACCCCGATACAAAACGGGGTGCCTGACTGTGGGTCTCCTCACCCCGCGCGCTTAAAAGGACTATCAATGCTCTACTGCAGGCACACGCGAAAGGTTAATAAAAGTTTTATTATTACAAGGGAAGGGGAAATGAGGAAATGTACAGCTCAGGGAGAAAAGTGGGAGACAAAGTTTTAAATGAGTCCTACCCGATCCGCGGATCAGGAATCCCAAAATGGCGCTCTGAGAGCTGGCCGCGAGCCAGGAGCCGTGAAGCCAGGGCAAGCAAGCGACAGTGAGCCCCCCAAGGCCCACGTGTTTGGTTTTTATATCCAACCTGGCTGCCCAACTCCACCTCAGGTCCCAGCCACTCTCCCTTGGTGGTGATGGGATTTGTCTTTCCCAATGTCTTGATGGCTTTAGTCTGGAGTGGGGGTGGGCGTCCACAAAGCCTGTATGGGATTAGCTCAGGACATCCTTTCCCCCTAACAATTTCATCAGGAGTATGAGCATTCACACTCATTCATACTCTTTGGCCTTGTAGAAAGGACCCTAGAGGAAGAGTAAAAGATGCTGTCTAAGAGAATGAAGCTATAATGATATGACAGTTCATGCGATGGACCTTTTGGAAGTGAGGAATCCTGACTAAATCCTCTTCAAGCAACAGCTTCCAAGTAGCTGCCTGCTTCTGAAACTCAAGGAACAAGTCCTTTTGGTTTTTTGTTTTTCAGTAGTATTGTTACAGGGCAAACCCCAATATAAAATGGGGTGCCTGACTGTGGGTCCTCACCTGTGCGCTTAAAGGGGACTTATTAATGCTAAACTGCAGACATACACAAAAGGTTGATAAAGGTTTATTTACAAGGAAGAGGAAGTGGGAAATGAATAACTCAGGAGAAAAAGAGGGAGATGAGTTCATAAATGCATCCTACCCATTCCGCTGACCTGGAATCCCAATGACCTGCTGAGCTGGCCAAAAGCCTTGCATGCCTTGTGGCCAAGCCAGTGCCCCCCCGCCACCACCACCCCCCCCCAGCCTCACATGGCCAGTTAAATACCCAAACCGAGAGCCTAGTTGCTTAACTCCTCCCTCAGGTCCTTGCAACCTTCCCTTTGGTGATCCTAGGATTTGTAGCTCCCAGTGTTGTGGGGGTGGAGTCCACAAAGTCTATATGGAGTTTGCTCAGGACTTCCTTTCCCCCTATTTTTACCCCCCTTTCACTGTTTGCCACCATTTCCATGGTGAGAAGATGATATATTGGATGCTGGGACACAGTCTCAGATAGAATAAGCTGCAGAGGAGACTGAGGAAGAAGGAAGCAGGATGGAGCCAGAAGGAGGCTTGGAGAAGGCACATGGAGCAGAGAGACACATGAAGAAACTACACTTGCCTTTTGGTCGTGTACTGGTTGACACAGATGTGGGAGACTCATGGGGCAGTGACAATGTCGGTTTTTGTCTTGATTTTGAGTTTGCTTTTTTCCTTCTTGTCCTCTTTTCCTTCTTTTCCATCTTGTCTGGTTGTTTGTGATCCTTTTCTGTGGGTCCCCACTGGAAGATGCTTTAGACTTGGGGCAGGTTTTGGGGCCTTGTTCTGGGCCAATCTGCTTGGGTGGACTTTTACCCATGAGGGGATGGGTAACTTTGAATGCTTGATTTAGAAACTATATTCTTTGCCTTTCCTGTATTGTTCACTAATTGTGTTAAAGTTCCTTCCCATTAAAGTCTCATATGTTTTGTGTTGATGTGGTGGATGGCGGAACCTATTTAGAGCAGGCAGGTTTGCAGGGTCTGGGGTGCCCCTCTCCCTGCCCTGTAACAGATTTGGTGCCCAACATGATTTAGGAGAGCCATCCGTGGTTAGTCAGCCCCATGGGGAAATTGGGCTTCCCTATGGCACTGGCTACCGTAAGTGCAAATGTAATTTTTGGGTTCTAGTGTGTTTGTTTCATATGTAGATTTGCTGTTGAAAAACTGGCTTGGGCTTTGTGAGGATTCTGTGTGTCTGTGTGTAGTTTGTTTGTAATGACTTGCTAAGAGGTTTGATTTTGTGGAAATTGTTCTGTGCAACAGTTTTACTCAAAAGATTGGGTAGTATGTTGGACCATGTGGCCAGATCAAAGATGGCATCTGAGGCCACTTGGCAGGCTCTTGTAAAATTCAGAGGTTCTTTGTGCTAGGACTTTGTACTTTTTTCTTTTTTGTGATCTCTGCTGTCTCATTAGCATTTCTAAAGGCAATAATGATTCTTCAGTGATATGTTGCTTTGTCTTTGACTACTTCCTGACCTCTGCCTGAGGGGTTTTGAAAGCCAACTGTGGAGCAGTGGTGTTTAAATTAGCAAATGTATGCCTGGGTGTTAAGGAAAGAGTAGCCTTAAGCAGTAACTGGTAATTGCTGGTAGCTTTGATGGATTCTTGGAGATAACTTGAATTTTGCAAAGTCTGGATCAGAAAAATTAAAAAGATTTTGTCTGAGTCTGAAAGGATTTACTGCTATGAATTTTGTCTACACTATTTGATTTGGGCATGTTTGCCATTTGAATCCTGGCAAAAATCCTGTCATTTGAATAGACTGCTCAATTGCTGGTGTAAGATAACCGCACCGGGTTTTCATACCTGTGTTATTGCTGTCCCTCCCTAGTGTGGGGGAGGTGTAATCTGTGTTTAGATGTTGAATCTGCTCTTTCAGCTTCTGCTCCAGAGTGGCTAACAGAAGTAAGGAGATGACTCCTTTTTTTTTTTTTTAATTTTTTTTTAATAGAGGCATGTTTTATTTATTTGTTTGTTTGTTTGTTTTTGTTTTATACATGCACTGAGTATGGTCAGAAGCGCGGGAGGGTGAGAGAATTCACCAGAGCCAGAGCGGGGAGCAGAGCAGGCAGAAGGACCGAAGTACACCACTGAGGGGAGCAGCGGGCAGCAGGAGAGGTCTGCGCGCCATGTGGGACCCTCCTCTGGTGGCCGGGGAGCAGCCGGGGATCGAACCAGCACTGCAGAGGCTGTGGGCAGCTTTGCAACCCAGCGCTCAACTGCTGCGCCACGGGGAGGCCGATGACTCCTTTTTTTTTAATTTGAGTTTTATTTTTATATTCCCCATACAATTACAACCCCCTTATTTTTACCCCAAGTCCTCCTTTCCCCGCCCCCCATCCCCCAGGAGATGACTCCTTTTAATTGAAAGTTAATTGCTGGTATTTTGATTTTGTTTTTTAAGATTCTGTTCCAGGAAACCCAACGATTGCCTGCTTGGTGGCTAACAAGAGATGACTTCTTTTGCTTAAAAGGTAACTTGATTTTGCTCTTTCAGCTGCTGTACAGGATACCCCAAGATTGGCTTCTCATAAAAAGGCTTGAACACTAAAAACCCTAAAGTGATAAACAAGGTCATGTAACTCTTGTGATTAATAAAACTTTTTCTTCCTATTTCCAAAGTCTTAGGTCTGTAAGATTGTTATAGGACAGGGAGAGGGGCAGCCCAAGCCCCGCAACCTGCCTATTCTAAATGGGTTCTGCCATCCGCCGCATTAACACAAAACATAGGAGACTTTAATGGGAAGGAACTTTAATTAAACTAGGAAACAATACAGGTAAGGCAGAGTCTAGTTTCTAAATTAAGCACCCAAAGTTACCCATCCCCTCGTGGTAAAGTCCATCCATATGGGATCGGCCCAGAACAAGGCCCCAAAGCCTGCTACAAGTCTAAAGCATCTTCCAGTGGGGACCCAGCAAAGGTCACAAACAACCGGACAAGCCCGGAAGGAAAAGAGCAAAAATCAACATCAAGATAAAGCTGCCATTGTCACCTCCCCACGGGTCTCACCCACATCTGTGTCACCCAGTCCACGACCAAAAGACAAGCGCAGTTTCTTTACGTGTCTCTAGGCTCCATGCGCCTCCTCCAGGTCTCCTGGCTCCATCCTGCTTCTTCCTCAGTCTCTTCTGCAGCTTCTCCTCTTCCTGCTCAGCTCCACCCTTCCTTGGGTGGGGCAGGGAACCTGGAACCTCCCCCTTTCCTGGGGACCACCCTGTTACAATCCCCCCTTTTAATTTTCATTCCACCATATCTATGGTGGCACAGATCTCAGGGTGTAATCTTAGGAGACAGTCTTTTTTCAGGGTTACAATGTGTGTAAGAGAAGCAACAATTAGTCAGCAGCATTGTCCATGAATGTTCAGTATGACAGTTTTCCATTACTTGAAAATAGTCCATTATCCAAGCCAAAAGAAAAAAAATCTTAAAATTGGTTCAACTTATGCAAAAACGAATTTTCTCAACCTTGATCCCAAACTTTAACAGCATAGCAAAAGTTTGCAAATTAAATTTACTTTTAAACCATTTTTTCTATTTTTGCATAAAATCACAGGGCAGAAATAACTAACAGCAATTTTTAGCTGGCTTTGTTGAAATACTCCATACAGGATCAGAGCGAACCGGCGGCATCCAGTCGATGCATGCTTCAGGTATAAGGTTGGTCTCATCAGACTCCACCTGGGCTTTCCTCTTCCCGAGGGTACCAGGGTTTTTCGTTGGCCGGGTTGTCCAGTCCTGCCAATGGAGGCAAGCTTCCTCACCTTCTTTGGAGGTCTCTGGAACCCTACAAACAAGGCAAACAGGTTTTCCTCTTCTTGGTTCAGCTCTTTTTCAACTTTCTGGAAGAACTCCACACAAAGCCACACAATCAACCTCACGTCCAATTTTTTGTTTAAGCAGACAAAATCCCTATGGAAGTTATGCAAAAACAGACTCTGAGATAAGTAGCAAAAATTACTACCACTATTTTTATGCCGTGTTGGTATCAAGGGGAGAGAAAATGCAAACACAAGTTAGCTTTGTTGGAAAAAATTACAACCTTGCTGTGCAGATCCTGGTCACCAAAACAAGAAAACTTTGTGGATTTAGAGCAAAATGCAAAAAAATCATCAGTATTATTATGTCAAGGAAAACTTAGTAAATATGAGGTGTATTTCCAAGTCTATTCAGTCCTTAGTAGAAAAGTTTTTTACTCTCAACAGTTCCATCAATAGGAATCTGTTGAGACCTTTTCTCCCTATATTTCCAGAAACAATTTCTGTAGATGTGAAACAATTGAATTATACAATATTACAAGGTGACAATCACCATTGACAATTTACATACATACCAGATACTACTGTTAACATTTTGTACATACCAAAGTTTTACCATTTTCCCAAGTGACAATGCTTCCCTTCCAGTTTTACTTCATTAGGTAAAAGCCAAATAGAACAAATTCATGTAATGCTTTCCCAGGAGGAAAAGGAGAAACTTCGTGGAGTGTCTCAGGAGCTCTACTGAGGTTCCACAAAATTTCCTTGCATCAGTCAAATGACAGGCTACCAAATTTGTACTTGAATTTAGATTTCTGGGAAGCTTTGCCATAAATATCAGAAAATTAACAGAAACAACAATATTCAATCTCTATGAAGGCACCGGCTTAGTTCAGTAGCACAATGATGACAATCAAACCATAACTTTTTGTTTTTCTCATAACCGGAGACTCTTTTTTTTTTTTTTCAACGTCTATGGGCACCATGTATACCAATCTGTCAATCACTGGAGGTCAAGACAGTTAGACACAAGGACATACAGACATACAACGTATAGACAAAACAGTTTTTTTTTTTTTGTTATGCCACGTAGAATATGTTATGTAACTGCAGTTTTACTCCATAGGCTCAGAAAAAAAATGTCAAAGTCCAAAAAAAAATGTGGAGTGTTGCTGGCAGAAAAATTTCCAGTTGTCATCCTGCAAACCTAAGACTTTGGAAATAGGAAGGAAAAGTTTTATTAATCACAAGAGTTACATGACCTTGTTTATCACCTTAGGGTTTTCAGTGTTGAAGACTTTTTTATTAGAAGTCAATCCTGGGGTGTTCTGTACAGCAACTGAAAGAATAAAAGTTAACTTTTAAGCAAAAGGAGTCATCTCTTGTTAGCCACCAAGCAGGCACTCCTTGGGTTTCCTGGAATAGAACCTGAAAAAGCAAAATCAAAATATCAGTAATTAACTTTCAATTAAAAGGAGTCATCTCCTTACTTCTGTTAGCCACTCTGGGACAGAAGCTGAAAGAGCAGATTAAACATCTAAGCACAGATGACACCTCCCCCACACTAGGGAGGGACAACAACAACACAGGTATGAAAACCTGGTACAGTTACATGATGCACCCTAAAGAGTGCTTTCCATAACAGACCTTCCTCAGTAGGAAGCAGAAACTTAGAATCTTGTCTTACACCAGCAATTGAACAAATCCAGTATTCAAAAATAACAAAAATGGCAAACATGCCCAAAACAAATTGTGTAGACAAAATTCACAGTAGCAAATCCTTTCAGACTCAAACAAAATCTTGTTAATTTTTCTGATCCAGACTTTGCAAAAATTCAAGTTATCTCCAAGAATCCATCAAGGATACCAGCGATTACCAGTTACTGCTTAAGGCTACTCTTTCCTTAATACCCAGGCATACATTTGCTAATTTAAAACACTGCTCCACAATTGGCTTGCAAAATCCATCAGGCAGAGAGCAGGAAGTTGCCAAAGACAAAGCAACATACCACTGAAGAACCATTATTGCCTTTAGAAATGCTAATGAGACAGTAGAGATTACAAAAAGAAAGAAAAAAAAAAAAGTTCCAAGTGGCCTCAGACGCCATCTTTGATCTGGCCACATGGTCCAATGTACTGCCTAATCTTTTGAGTAAAACTGGCACAGAACAATTTCTACAAAATCAAATGTCTTAGCAAGTCACTACAAACAAATTACATACAGACACACAGATCTTCAAATCGACATATGAAACAAACACTCCGGAGAAACCAAAAATCACATTTGTGCTTATGGTAGCCAGTGCCATAGGGAAGCCCAATTTCCCCATGGGGCTGACTAACCACGGATGGCTCTGTCCTAAATCTTCGTTGGACGCCAAATCTGTTATAGGACAGGGAGAGGGGCAGCCCAAGCCCCGCAAACCTGCCTATTCTAAATGGGTTCTGCCATCCGCCGCATTAACACAAAACTTAGGAGATTTTAATGGGAAGGAACTTTAATTAAACTAGGAAACAATACAGGTAAGGCAAAGAGTCTAGTTTCTAAATTAAGCACCAAAGTTACCCATCCCTCGTGGGTAAAAGTCCATCCATATGGGATCGGCCCAGAACAAGGCCCCAAAGCCTGCTACAAGTCTAAAGCATCTTCCAGTGGGGACCCACAGCAAAGGGTCACAAACAACCGGACAAGCCCGGAAGGAAAAGAGCAAAATCAACATCAAGATAAAAGCTGCCATTGTCACCTCCCCACGGGTCTCACCCACATCTGTGTCACCCAGTCCACGACCAAAAGACAAGCGCAGTTTCTTTACGTGTCTCTAGGCTCCATGCGCCTCCTCCAGGTCTCCTGGCTCCATCCTGCTTCCTTCCTCAGTCTCTTCTGCAGCTTCTCCTCTTCCTGCTCAGCTCCACCTTCCTTGGTGGGGAGGGACCTGGAACCTCCCTTTCCTGGGGACCACCCTGTTACAAGATGATAACTGGAAAATGATTTTTGCCAACAACACTCCACATTTTTTTTGGACTTTGACTTTTTTTTCTGAGTCTATGCAATGGAGTTTTGTAGAGTTGCGGGGTCCTTGGGTTCACTCTGGGAAAGGGTTCGCCAAGGCTCCCGTTTCGGCAGCATGCGGCGAGTTTCCCAGGCGAGTTTCTCCACAAGACAGAGACATTAGTTATATTTAAAGAACAGGTTTATATGGAAAAGGGACAGGTTTTAAGAGAGGCCTGCATGGTTGCAGGCAGGCGGCCTTGAGGAGAGAGGCCTCAGCTGAGGGAGGTCAGTGAAGAGAAGTCCAGAGGGAGAGAGTTGGTGAAAAGAGGCACCTGCGTAGTCACAGGTGGGCAGTGGGAGTGCTGCCCCGAGCCTGTGTGGAGACTGCATTGATATAGTCCTTTTCTCTTTGGGAGGGGTCACTCCACTTTGGAGTGGCCTGCTTGTTGCTGATGTTGGGTAACAGGCAAAACTAGAAAGGGACCAGAGATTCCATGGTGGACCTCCATATCTCTACTCTCACTTCTGTGCTCCACTCCCTATAGCAGTCTGATCTTGCTTGGGCCTTATGCCTTGTGATATGGCACTGGTGCCTAAGGATCACGACCTCTAAGTTAGGTTAATGGCCATATTATTTTCTTCTACTCCCACCTCCTTGTGTGTCAGGTTCTGGTCTTGGGGCACCTCCTTTCCAGTCTTTCTATTCTTGTCCTCCTCCA